TGTCCTTGAGCGCGGTCCAATCAAACCCAGGATCTTCAAGGAAGGTCGGACTCTCGTGAACCCACCACAGATCAGCTTCTTGGCAGAAGTAGAACGTTGCCAGTTCTACTCTCCTCTCTTCGGGACAGCCCACCACGGTGAAAATCTTATCAAACACCCGTAGCCACTCTTCAAGGACTACAGGGTCTTCCTCGCCAACGAAGGATGGCGGCCGATGCCCTAACACCAAACGACCTACATCGCGATGCCCAACAGGAGGCGGAGGCGACACAGCTTGATTGTTGTTCAGCAAGGCTTCACTGAGCGACTGCATCGTCTGTGTCAGCTGATGGAGATTCTGAGCGAGCTGCTCGTTGGTCGGGGTCTCGGGGGTGCGAGTGTGGGGACGAGGAGGCATCGCAAACTTCTACAACAACAACGAGATTACCAAAAAGAGCAAACAAGCAACACACATCTCACCGCGCAACCTAGAGTCCTAAGCCTAACACTTAGCTTCTTAAGGTCGCTTAGAGGTCTCAAAACACACTTAACCACTTAGAAAGTCTAGACTTAACTCATCCTAGGCTCAAACCTAGGCTCTGATACCAACTGTAACACCCCCCAAAAAAACAAGGCCCAATTGAAGCCCTAACACAAGCAGATTAACAACAAAACTAGCACAGCGGAAGATAAACGGAAACTGGATAAAAGAAATCCAAAAAGGGGTGTTATGCCACGTATACCACACTAGGTAACGCTAAGGCAACCATCTGAAAGTGTATAACACTATCCCAATACATCGATCTAAAACAGTCTAAAAACATTGCCGCACAGGCCACAAAAATACAAAGGTGCTAAGCTACCAGGCTCTAGACATCGCTCTCGTCTAAACATCACCTGAAAGATACAAAGTTAAACATTGGGACGACGCCCGGTCAGCGAATAATGCTGGTAACCCACCAATACCGTTAAGTATCATAAATAGGTAGATATAAGATATAAAAACCATTTTTGAAACGGAATACATATATATATATATATATATATATATATATATATATATATATATATATATATATATATATATATATATATAAGTCAAAAGCCAAGATCACAAGTCAACACAAGACTCATCACTCTCAAGACCACATGGGAACACATCCCAAACCACAAAGGTTAACCACACACAAGGATAAAGACTCACCCAACGGCAACACATACCAAAACAACACAAGCCTACGTGACTACACACGTCACGAGAGAAGATCACACAACGACGGCTTTACAAGCCCTCGCAACATCACCCATCGCGAGTTGGTATGCCTTCCTTATGCCCTGTTCCAACCTTATGGCTACCCCCAACCTTGTATCTTCTTTCCAACCATTACCTCCAAGATCCCCTGTACAACCAAGTCCAACCTTATTCCGCCGGGACCGTCGTCCCCCACCATAACCACCAACGAACGAACACCAATCACAGCAACACATGCCCGGATAACACATGTTATCCCCCAATCACGTGGACCCATCACTCAGCCACAACTCTATAATCACGTCACGGCCACCACGAGGACCGCTGCAATACCTTGGTGACTAGTGTCCCATACCACTAATCGTGGAATCCAGGTAGAGCCACACACGCACCACACCTCAACAAGAATCAATCAACGGATTGCAATGAAGGTATGAAACACACTCAATCAAGGAACGGGCCACAGCCCAACAACATCAACGATGGATAACACAAGTTATCATCAACCAAACGGAAGGTACAAACCACACACACGCTAGCATTAAGATAATAAACTAGCATGCTTAACAACGGAGAAACTCAAGATAGTTCCGAGGAACACACAAGACACCTCTTGGTCCAACGAAACACAATGTTGAACACTTAGCACGATTCAAGACACCAAAGTCCTACATGGATACCTACCATATAGTTCTAGACCTACGAAAAATCAAGAAGACACTCAAATAGTTCCACAAAAGAACAACGGAAAGTCAAAAGATCAAATACCGAGACAACGAATCACGGGGAACAAATCCCGAACCAAACACCACCGTGTACCCCGCGGGTGGACCCACGGGTAGTGCCCCACCCGTGGTCCCGCCCGCGGGAACACCATCCCACGAGGCCTGTACCCGCGGGTTGGCCGGCGGGTGGTGCCCCGCCCGCGGGAACATTCCTGTTCCACAATAAATCCCTTCGGGGATTTTCTTCTCCAAACACAAATTCAAGTCCAAAACATGCCAAATCTCACCAATCACAACAAAATGACTTGAACCATGGAAAATGCCAAGCAATGGCACAAAGGAACCCTAAACACAAGCTCTAGATATGCAATATCACAAGATAAATGCATAAACCCTCACATTTCATAGCAAAGAACAAGTAAAATCCAAGAAATCACATATAGGTAAGCAAAATAGGTTTTGTAGAGCATGGGTTACCTCTTGAAGACCAAAAGACTTCTCTTTACACCACAACAAGCTCTCCACTAGGCTCACTTCTCAAACCCACTTCAAGATCAAACCCAAAGATCATAAAGATCCTACCTTTAAGAAAAAGACAACTAAGTTGGAACCAAAAAGACTAGACAAGCTTAGATCTTACCCTCCTAGATGCCCAAATAGGTGAAAGGTTGAATCTTGGAAGTAAAACTTGGAATCTTGACAAGGGTCTCAACTTGGCTTGGAGAATAAGTTACACTTCTATTCTAGAGAGAAGGTAGAGATATTTTCTAGGAATTGTAAGGAATGAAATGAAGAAGTCTTCTAGGTTAGGATACAATACTAACTCTTGGTGAAAAGACAAGGCTACCCTTACTAACCCATAGAAAGTGTAAGGAACAAGGGAACTCCTCTCTAAGCACAAGGTACAACACAACTTAAAGATTGACTAGTCAAATACTAGTCCTTGAGTATTAAAAATCAGGATTTTAGGAATCAATTCCTCAAAAGAATTAGAATTAATTACTCAATTAATTCATGGATTGGAGTGTGGATTTTTGGGGTGTCACATTGGCGTATCTGATAGATCCACCATCTTGCGGGGGCGTGTCAAGAGTAGCATAATTTTATATTTAGTCTTGGTCTTCCTTATTTGTCTCTACAAGTTTCTGTAGAATAGGATCTTTATTAGTATTCTGTTACTCTTCTTCCTGTATATATACTACTTTGTTTTGTTGAATAAGATATCAATTCTCATTTCCTTTATATGTATTAGTTTTGGAAGTTAGTGTTCTTAACCACCATGTAACTTCTTCAGAGAGTTGTATATATATGTCTAAACATTCATTCTTGGAGTAAGTTCAATGAGATAAAGTCTAAGTAATCAAACAAGTACTCTGAGAGAGGTCTAAGATGGAAAATTTTAAGGATAAAAGTTTGAGAGATGAAATGTTAATTTCATCACTATCATATTTTGATAAAATTTTCAGTTATACAACTTAAAAGGGAATTTCTAGGAAGAGTAACCCGAGATTTCTATATATCTTCTTGTATATCATAAGTATGTATCGGGTATCCCAGTTGCTTGTAAAGGGAGATTAAAGAATTATAAGAAAATGAGTACACGGGTGAATATTTCGTATGATCTAATTTTTAGTTCCTTTATTTTTCTATATTTTCTGTTGTATCTCTAAAATATTACAAAATAAAAGTAATTTCTCCAACAATTGTGAATTGTAAAGTATATATTATTATGTTGATAGTTATTACTGTGATTAGATATATAGTTTGTAAATGATTGTGAATAGATAGTTTATTGGGCTGGTTTTGGAAAGTTTTGTATAGGATTTTGAATAAAAAATTAGCGTGTTTTAAAATTAAATAATATATTTAAAAAATATCCGCCACACTTTCTCCTAGATACTTTTAGGAAATAAGTGTCGCGGATACACCAATTATAAAAAAAGTAAAATAATAAAATAATATGTGACACTTCCTAAGCTGAAAGTGTCGCGGATTCTTAGCTTCCCGCAACACTCACTGTAGACACCGAAAATTTTAACCCGATAAATGGACAGACAAAATTATTATTGGGACGGTGTCGAGATTGATTATTGGACCAATTTAATTAATTGGGCCATAATAATTAAATTAATTTAATGAGTCCAATTAGACTTGATTTGGGTTGTTGAATTAATTAATTAATTAGACGCATGCCCCAAATCGAAAAAATCGACGCCGGAAAGAGACGACAACGGGGAGGAAGGAGCGATGAAGGCTGCTCCACATCAGAACGCGAATGGAAGCCAAGCGGTCCAAGTTGGTGACGCTCCTTTTGGCGTATGGATGATTGCTCTGGGGAGGAAGACAAGGAACGGATAGAGGCCACCGAACAGAACACAGAGGACGACGAGTGAGAGGAGACAGGCGAACACCGTTAACCGCGACAATGAGGTACATGTTTCTAGTTTTGCTCCTTTGTCTGAGCAGGTAGGCAAAGAAGGGATACAGAGAGATGCAGCAGTGGAAACAGATGCGGTTCCTGACGCGGATGAACAGCCTAATGAACCCCATACCACGCAGGCGCAAAGCGCAAGAAGCCAGCCGGCATTGACGCAGGGAGGCAGAGTACGCCGCCCAAATGTCATCGCCATAGAGAAGCAGGTTTTGAATGAGAAATCGGGTGGGGGATCATCGCAGGCACAAGGAGCGGATTCGGGGGCAGGCAATCGGCGGGAAAGAACTGTGGGACCTAGGCGAGCCGCGGAGGAGGATGAGCACGTGGTCATAAGAGGGGAACAAGGCGGTCAGGTGATTCGTTCAACGCGGGTGTATCTCGGAGACCCAACCGGAAATATTCCATCCCCAGTCTGGGAGCCAACTAAAGAACATCACGCAGATCCACCGGGCCGGATTGATGAGGAAGGGGACATGGTGATGGATCTTGAGGGGATCCCGGCGCAAGCTGAGGCAGTGAGGGCCGAACAGGCCCATTGAGTTTGTCTTTTGAACTCTTGTTTTGCTTAGTTTTTTCTTTGTGCCTCGTTTTCCTTTCCCTGCTCTGTTTTATGGATTGTTTGCTTTGGAACTGCCAAGGGGCGAGTGGAAAGAGATCCATCCGCACCCTAAAGAATCTCCTATTGGACCATAAGCCGTGCATTTTAGGTCTGTTTGAATCCAAAGTGTCGGGGGTTCAGGCTAATGCTATCTGTTGCAAGCTCGGGTTTTCTGATTGGATCCGTGTGGAAGCCTTAGGCTTCAGTGGTGGCATTTGGGTCTTCTGGAAGGACCTGGTGCAGATATCGGTTTTGTTTACTCACCCACAGTTCATACTCTTGCAGGTCTCTAAATCAAGTAGCCCTCCTTTGTTTTTTGCCCCAGTCTATGGAAGCCCCACGCACCAGCTTCGCAAACGCCTATGGCGTGACCTGAGGCAGTGTAATAGGGCTATTTCGGGGCCCTGGTTGGTGGCGAGGGACTTTAATTCTGTGGTTTACCAGGAGGAGACTCTGAATTACACCTCTTTTTCCACACAACGGAGTGCTGACTTTGCAAGCTGGATACAGGAAGAGGGCCTAATTGACTTGAGCTTTACAGGCCCAAAGCTTACCTGGGTCAAAGACGGATCTAGTGATCGCATCAAAGGGGCAAGACTTGATCGAGCGTTATGCAACACCGAGTGGCGCACTAGTTTCCCCGAGGCCTGTGTTCAACACCTACCCCGGACGGCGTCGGACCATGCCCCGATCCTTATATGAGTTGAGACCCGTACACAACATCTTACGCCTTCTCGTTTCTTTTTTCAGGCAGCCTGGCTAACTCACCCGGATATTAGAGAAGTGGTGGACGGCTCATGGGATAGAGAGCAAGGCGTTCCGCTAAATAACATGAACCTTGCGGGTACTTTGACCCAATGGAACAAGTCAGCGTTCGGTAATATCTTCAGACGTAAAAGAACCCTCTTGGCCAGAATAGGGGGAATCCAGAGCCGGTTGATGGAACAGTGTCACGGGGGCCTGGTAAAGCTGGAATGGAAACTTCGTAAAGAGCTTGAAGATACTCTGTACCAGGATGAGCTTATGTACTTCCAGCGATCCCGGGAAGATTGGATCAACTCGGGAGATAGGAATACTGCCTACTACCACGCTGCCACGACAGTTCGCAGGTCTAGAAATGTCGTCGCTGGGCTGATGGGTGATCACGGGGACTGGATCTCAGATACAGAGATGCTCAAAATACATGTTCGGAGCTACACACGTCATAAGAAGAGAACACACAACCACGGCTACACAAGCCCTCGTGACATCACTCATCACGAGTTGATATGCCTTCCTTATGCCCTGTTCCAACCTTATGGCTACCCCCAACCTTATATCTAGTTCCAACCTTTACCTCCAGGACCCCTGTACACCAAGTCCAACCTTATTCCCCCGGGAACCGTCGTTCCCCCTCCAACAGTCCCTCTAACAAAACCACCGATTCATAGTACACGAGGTACCGTTCACACATGGCAACACATGCCCGGATAACACATGTTATCCCCCATAAAACGTGAACCTTACACAAAGGCCACAACTCCATAATCATGTCACGGCCACCACGAGGACCGCTGCAATACCTTGGTGACTAGTGTCCCATACCACTAATCGTGCAATCCAAGTAAAGCCACACACGCATCACACCACAACAGGAATCAATCAACGGATTACAACGAAGGTATGAAACATACTCAATCAAGGAATGGGTCACAGCCCACAACAACAATGATGAATAACACAAGTTATCATCAACCAAACGGAAAGTACGAACAACACACACGCTAGCATTTAAACATCGAACTAGCATGCTTATCAAACGGGTAAACCAAAGATAGTTTCGAAAAACACACAAGACTCATCACGGTTCAACGAAACACAATGTTGAACACTTAGCACGATTCAACACACCAAAGACCTACATGAAATCCTACCATATAGTTCTAGACATATGAAACATCAAGAAGACACTCAAATAGTTCCACAAAAGAACATCGTGAAGTCAAAAGACCAAATACCGAGTCAAAAGAATCAATGGGAAAAAATCCCAAACAAACACCACAGTGTTCCCCGCGGGTAGACCCACGGGTAGGCTCCCACCCGTGGCTCCGCCTGTGGGTACACTACCCACCGGCTACATGTTCCCCGTAGGTGGGCGGCGGGTGGAGCTCTCCCCGTCGTTCCGCCCGCGAGTACATACACCTGTGCAAAAAGATCCTTTCGGGGATTTTCAACTCCAAGCTCAAATTCAAGTCCAAAACATGTCAAATCTCACCCAATATAACAAAATGATTTGAATCATAGGAAATGCCAAGCAATGGCACACAAGAACCCTAAACACAAGCTCTAGATATGCATTTTCACAAGACAAATGCATAAACACTCACATTTCATAGCAAAACACATGTAGAATCCAAGAAATCACATATAGGTAAGCAAAATAGGTTTTGTAGAGCATGGGTTACCTCTTGCAGACTAAAAGACTTTACTTTACACATCAACAAGCTTTCCACAAGGCTCACTTTCCAAACCCACTTCAAGAACAAACCAAAAGATCATAAAGATCCTACTTTTAAGAAAAAGACACCTAAGATGGAACCAAAAACACAAGATAGGCTTAGATCTTACCCTCCTAGATACCCAAATAGGTGAAAGGTTGAATCTTGAAAGAAAATCTTGATGTCTTGGCAAGGTCTCAACTTAGCTTGGAGGAAAAGCCACTCACCTTTCTAGAGAGAAGGTAGAGCTATATTTTAGAAATTGTAAGGGATAGAATGGAGGTGTCTTCTAGGTTAGGTTACAATACAAACACTTGGTGAAAGGTCAAGAATACCCTTACTAACATTAGAAAGGTGTAAGGAACAAGGGAACTCCCTTCAAAGCTCAAGGTACAACTTGACTTTGGAGTTGACTAGTCAAATACTAGTCCCCAACTATTAAATTTCAGGATTTTAGAAATTAATTCCTCAATTGAAATAGGATTAATTACTCAATTTAATCCATGAATTGAATTTGGATTTTTGTAGTGTCACATCCTCTCCCCCTTCAAAGAAGCTTCATCCCCGAAGCTTGGGTACGACGAATTAGAACAAACGGCGATAGGAAACAACATTGTGACAAGAGGTTCAAGAATGAGCTCTTTTGGTCAAAACTCAAAAGGTTTCACAAGAATTCCAAACAAAAAGGAAGGCTTATATCAAATCAAAAATTGGCGAGAGTTTAACAAAGGGTTGGATTAAGCATCACGAACTCTAGATTTAACACCAACACCGACTTCTAGACAACCACTAAGAACTAGACCGCTAACTCTAAACACCAACTACTAAGCTAGCTAACAACAAGGTAACAAGCAAAGCAAGCAAACACACAAGGCGAGCAACAAACGACTACCAACTAACAACGGCAAAAAGGAAACGACAAAGACAAAGGCGAACGGGATTACCACGACACAAGCTAGAACTCCTCACTCTCCGACTCCTCGGCCACCTCAGATTCCTCCTCATCTTCGTCTCTGCGGCTCGAACTGGCCTCAACATGGTCTAGCCTCTGATGCACGGCAATGAACTGCGTCTTCATAAAGGCAAAACCCTCCTCGATCAAGCAGTTCTGCTGGCAAAGCAAGGCGATAACACATTCCTCGTGCACCATGGCATCATGCTCCCTCTTCGTGCGAGCTTCCCTTCTTCGTCGGTTCTCTTCACTATCCGAATCACTTTCTTCAGCAACTTCTGGTGCTCCCACCACATCCTCACGATCGGCTTCATCCTCGGCTTCCTCATCACCTCCCAAGCTATGAACGGCGAGGCTCAACTTCCCGGCATGGATTCCAAACTCAGCTGCCAACTCGGCCCTTTCTTCAGGTGCTTTTCTTGCAACTTCCTCCAGCGTGATGTACTCACCATCATCCATCTGAAACAGATTACAACTTCGAAGGTTGGCGGCATCCAACACCATCTTTCCCACAGCCTTCGGGAGACAACCATCCACACTGACACCCTTCCTAACCAAGATCCAACTCAACACCATCCCGTACGGTAAGCTCTTCCGATTGTGATCCCGGCAAAACACCATGTGTTGCAACATTAAAGCTGGCAAGTTGAACTTAACCATATTCTTGAGACAAAAGTCAAAGGTGCACTCCAACTTTCCCAACAAACTGTTTTTGTTGTTATTAGGCAACAAGCAATCCGATACCAACATAACCAAGATCCTCTGTTCCGCAGACAACCACTTTTTCTCCAGCCTTGAAGCTTGAGTGAAACCACTCGTACGGCCCAACAAAAAGCTCAAGTAATCATGATACCCCATGGTATCCGTACTAATCCAAGCATGACCACTATATTGAGCCATTCCAGTAGCAGACAAACTCAAAAGCTGAGCCAACCTCTTCTCAGAAAGCACCAACTTTACACCTCTCACTTTGGAAGTGATCTCAAGCTTTTCACCTTCCCTTGTCACCACCATGTGACGATAAAACTCTTTAACCAGGCTCGGGTAAGTCTCGGCCCTTATGGCGAGAAATCCATCCAACAAACCTTGGAATCTAAGCCTATCCAACAAGGAACTAGGAAAAGATTCCAGATCAAAAGCTTTAACTTCAAGAACGAGGTAATGGGCATCCACCCATTCCGTTTTTCTAGCCAAACTTGATCTTCTAGGCATGGCAAGAGATGACCCAAAACTCAACAAAAGAAGCCCGCAACTCCTCCTCTTTTTCCTCTTACTCACCCTGCCCGATCCCTCTCTCTCTCGCTGCTTCTCTCGGCGATAGCAGATCGGCGGTGGCACGGCAGCTCCGGGCGACGGCGACGGTGGGGCGACGGGTTGGCGGTGGTGGCGAGTTGCAGGTGAAGCTACGGGTGGGGGTGGGGTTCGGCTACACGCGGGTGGGGAGGGAAGAGAGAAAAAGGGAGTTTGGAGATTTTAGGGATTTGGGAGAAATTGGGGAAAAAGATGATTTAATTTGGGGATTTGGGTAAAGATGAGAATTTATGGTTTAGATGGGATTGAAATTGGATAAGTTCTAAGAAAAACAAATGGTTCAAATTGTTTAGAAGTTGGGTTGGCAAAGAATAGGCTTGGGTTCAAAACTCAAAGGTTATAATTAAACATTAAAAATATCTTGATTTTTATAAGATACCCAAAAAGGAATTTTGACATGAATTGGCTATCTCCAAATTCAAAGAATACTTGAAGAATTTGGGAAATTCACCAAGGAATTGTTGTAAGAACAACCAAGGTTAGGGATTGTAGAATTGGCCCAAGTACAAAGCATTCCAAAGATAGATGACTAACTTCACAACGAGACTTATGAGCCAACTAAGGAAGTCACTTAGCAAGAAGAGATTACACTAAGCTCCAAAAGAATAACTACTCAAGAAAAGCATGCCAAGGATTGCCAAGTAACTCAATTAGACACTACGAGACACAAGATAACACTCAAGACAACAAGGACAACTCAATTAGACACTACGAGACACAAGATAAACACTCAAGACAACAAGGACACGATATTTGCGAAAACAAAAAAAAAAACAAAAAAACAAGGATAGGGTTACCTGCCAACTCATCCTCCACCAAGCCCTCCGACTCGGCCTGGGATCGCGCCATCACAAAGACCCTTCCAGGTGGCCTAGCTCCAACCGCTCAACGACCCAAACTACCTCTTGATGCTCCTCCGACTCCCGGGGGTGGCGGCAACGCTCTCTGACCGGCTGGTTGAGGACACTCCACGACTTTGTGACCTCGATCACCACATCGAAAACACCGAAGCGCGAAGCCGTTGCAACTCTAACCGACATGCATCTTCCCACACCTTTGACAAGGAGATGGCTTGACTTGATTCCCTTGCTCCATCCTATTAGGTCCTTGAGATGAGGATGCCACGCTCTTGACTTGAAAACTCGGTCGAGGCTTCTTGAAGGTGGAACAACCTCCGCTCTCAACCCTCTTCCTTGCTGGCTCAAACGATCCTCTCTGAAGCTGCTAAACGCGATACAAATCCGCGGCACTCAGATACGCGTCCTTAAGGGAACTCGGCCTACTAACCTTCAACGCTTTCCATGCCTCATAATTCAGACCGGCAACGAAACGCTCAACCTTAGCAAGCTCCTTAGGCACAAGCATCCTCACAAAGCGCGCCAACTCCAAAAACTTCAT